TAAATCAATGATATGATAATGGCAATGCATCACCCTTCGTGTTTTTACGCTCGTCCTTACCATGCAATAATATGAATATAATGGCACGACATCACCCTTCGTGATTTTACTCTCGTCCTCACCATGTAAATAATATTAATGAAATGGCACGACATCACCCTTCGTGCTTTACTCTCATCCTCACCATATAATAATACGAATAAAATGGCACGGGATCACCCTTCGTGCTTTTACTCTCGTCCTCACCATGTAATAATGTAAATCCGAATAATAAATAATGCGGGATATAATTTAACTTCAGATATGGTGCCATGATATCACACTTCAACTTCCAAAATATTCAACATCTTTAAAATAAGCAATAAATATGTAACTAATAATTAGAGAAGTAATAATCTAACCTAAGCATGGATAACATAATTAACGAAATAATATAATACAAAGAAAGAAGTTCCACCCGCATGCTTTTAATCCAATGAAAATGCGTAAGTACTCGTCACCTTACATAAACGTTGTCCTCACACATAAAACACATATCAAATAGACCAACAAGTCCTAATCCTTCAAGTCAAGGTTAACCACGATACTTACCTCACTCTACAACCAAATTAATGCTCAATCTCGGTTTTACCTCTAGAATTAGCCTCCAAACCAATCAAATATAGCTCAAATAATTCAAAATAATCTTTAGAAACCACCCTTTTTTTGGAAAAAGTCAACAAAAGTCCATCCCGGGCCCGCTTGGTCAAAATTCGAGATTCGTACAAAAATCTAATTACCCACACCCCGAGTTGGTTATGTGATTAGTTTCAAAATCCGACCTCAATTTAAGGTCTAAATCTCAAGTTCTCAAAATTTTTATTTCTACCTAAATCCCTAATTTCTACCATGAAAAAAAAGATTAAAGGTTAAAATCAATGCGTATTTATGAAAATGTAAGAAAACAAGTTAAAATCTACTAACCTATGAAGTTGGGATGAAAAACCTCATCAAAATCGCCTCTAGCCCGAGCCCAAATTTAAAAATGGTGAGAAATGGGATAATTCCCGATTATTGGACTGTTTAAAAGACTAGGCGTCAAGTGTTCATCGCGTTCGCGAGACACCTGACGTGATCGCGAAGCATTGAAGCCTGAATGGCCTTCTCCTTTGTAGAAAACCCCTCATGTTCGCGATGGTCTCATCCACTTGTCCTTCGCGTTCGCAAGTTTGGGCTCGCGCTCGCGTAGGGTAACGCTGCCTCCCCTAGAATTCCCACTTGACCTATCGCGTTCACATGTGAACGGTCGCGTTCGCGAAGGACAATTCCCCAACTGCTTCGCGTTTGCGACCGGTTCTCCGTGTTCGCGTAGAAGAACATCCTCCCCTATCCCAGTTTTCCCTTCGCGATCGCGAAGCATAAAGCCTTAGACACCAGAAACAACAAAAACCAGTTCAAGTTCAGAATGGTCCATAGCCTATCTGAAATTCACCCGAGCCCCTTGGCTCTAAACCAAACATGCACACAAGTGTAACAACATCATACGAACTCGCTCGCACGATCAAAATACAAAAATAATAGCTAGAACTATGAATCGAACATCAGAATGCATGAAATTTTCAAAGAAAAGAATTTCCAAATTCACAACTGAGAGACCGAATCATATCAGATAGACTCCGTTTTGCACAAAAATTTGTAGACAAGTTTTAAATAGTAAAATAAACTTATACCAAGTTCCGAAACCGAATTTCGAACCCGATAACTATAAAGTCAACCTACGGTCAAGCTTCAAAAATCTTTAAACCTTCGAATTACTAGTTTTCAATAAATCGCATCAAATTGGGACTTCCAAATTCAATTTCAGGCATATGCCCAAGTCCAAAATCATGATATGGACCAACCGGAATTGTCAAAATACCAATCTGAGATCGTTTACATAATGTTGACAATAGTCAATTCAATTCATTTTTATAGCTAAAAATGTTTCAACTTTTGACATAAAATTTTTTCGGAAAAGGACACGGGCTGCACACATTTATCAAGAAATACTAAACGGAGCTAATCGAGGTCGCAGGACATTGAAATAAGTGCTAGAACTCAAAATGATCTATCGGATCATCAAAGGTGGAGTGTCTCATATCTGTCGTTTTCGATATGCATTGTGGATTAGATCAATTATCCATATTTTTTTTTTATAATATACTCCTAATTAATATTCTGTAATCACTATTTTCTTTTCCCTTGATTGGTCATAGCTTGGAGTAGAAAATACTTGTTTATATCCCTGTTTTACACCAAACTTTATTACTTTATTGTAGTTAGTGATAAATTAAATATTCATTCTCCGTGTCAATTTATGTGATGGTGTATGACTCGACATAAAGTTTAACAAAAAAAAGAAAAACTTTTGAAACTTATGGTTTAATACAAATTATAGATACTTGTGCGACTGTATATCAATTCATTAAGGATAAAAAAGCAATTTTATAAAAAAATTATTTCTAAATAAAAAAAATTAAAAAGGGAAGAGTCACATAAATCGGGACAAAGAGAATATTATTTAAAATTATATGTAAACATCATTTATTATAATTTATTATTTGATGTAAACATGCAATAACGATAAGTGTTCTCCGTCCATCACATGCACCTCTATTTTTCTTTCTTCATGCTAGATGCGAGTCTGTTAGTGTCCTAAAAAGGTATTGTTTGATAGATTATTTGTTTTATGTTTTACATCGGATAAACTAATCCTTTTTTTATAGGCTGCTGCTTATATGATGATAAATAGTTTCTACACTTTGTATTTAGGGGCGGCTCGACATAATATGGGGCTTAAGGCGAAAATAAAAGTGAGGCCTTAAATTTTTAAATTTTTTTTTTTTGTTACTCCCTCCGTTCCAATTTATTTGAACTTGTTTGATTGGGCACGGAGTTTAAGAAAAAAATGAAGACTTTTGGAATTTGTGGTCCTAAACAAGTCCAAATGGGCCCAGAGTATTTATGTAGTTATAAAAGCTTCTCATTAAGGGTAGAGTTGTAACTTTAAACTAAATTGTTACCAAATTTAGAAAGGGTTCATTCTTTTTGGAACGGACCAAAAAAGAAATATGTTTACATAAACTGAAATAGAGGGAGTATAATTTATCGAAATCTAAAGAAGTTATAATTAGTTTTAATTATTGCAGTGTCTAATAACCAATTTGTTTAATCTCTCTTGTGTTATCATTTTGAACTTTATTGATTTAGTCTTGAAAAATCTTTTTACCCGAGGCAACTGGTATAGAAATTGTTAATGGTAATTGAATTAACACTTTTTACCTGATTGAGTTTGCCAATTAGAGTATTCTTCTACTTATACGGTTTCTCTTAGCACTTTTAATTCTAAAAATAAGTTGAAACAAATAATACTATAGTAACTACTTCCTCCATTTCAACTTATGTGAACCTATTTGACTAGACACGAAATTTAAGAAAAAATGAATTTATTTGGAATTTGTGGTCCTAAACAAGTCAAAAAAGGATCCAAAGTATTTGTATGGTTATAAAAGCTTCTCATTAAGGGTAAAATTGTAAGTTTAAGCTAAATTATTTTCAAATTTGGGTCATTTTTTTTAACGGACCAAAAAGGAAATAGGTTCACATAAACTGGAACATAAGGAATACTATGTTTCAAGAGTCATTCAATGTTAATGACGTATTTTAATAGTTACTTATCAAAATAGCTTGAAAAATGTCTACAAATGCACTCAAAAAATTAAAAAATTGTTCTAAACTAACATTGTAAGAAGATCGATTTAAGTTGGGACGAATTAAAGACAAGAAATAATTAGTAACTATAATGATGTATAAACTTTTAACTATAACTATTTTAACCAAATAATTTAAAAATTCTATCAATAGTGTATAATTATTAAATATTATATATATTATTTATTAATTTTGGGACCCTAAGTATTTTGGGGCCTTTAGGCTCCAGCCCGCCCCGTCTGTATTATAAGTTACTAACAGCAAATAAAGATATAGTAACACGTGATTATTGAAGAAGCAAAAGTTTACTCGTGCTGGCACACCTATAAATATAAGACACACATATAAGAGGGGTTGCTCTTATGGTAAACAATCTTCACTTTCAACCAAGAAGTTGTGAGTTCGAGTTTTCCCAAGAGCAAGGTGGGAAGTTCTTGGAGGGAAGGATGCCGGGGGTCTATTTGGAAACAGCCTCTCTACCCTAGGGTAGGGGTAAAGTTTGTGTACACACCACCCTCCCCAAACCCTACTAAGTGAGATTATATAGATTCTAAAAATCAAAAGCTCCTCACACATACTTGAATGATTTTGTCTTTTATATACTGAAATTACAATGGAAATTTTAAGCTATCAATTTGCTTTAAAAAAAATACATATAACTATTCACAAAAAACAAATTTAATAACATGAAAAATAAATTACCTTGTAACAACATGTTACATACACCAATAAATTAAAAAAAATCAATGTATTTTAAATCATATTAGAGTCATGCTTTGACACGTGGCCCATGTATATCGTCATCTACTATACCAAATCTAAATATCTTAATTTTATCATATGTTAGATATTATGAGTCATTTATATTCTCGTTTGTCAGCAACTATTTATCTTTGATTCTAATGGAGCTCCAATCTAAAGTATAGCGAAAAAAGATTTATAGAAAGTTACATTTGGATTTTTTTGGAATATCAATTTTGACACGTTAACATTGATTACACTTCACTACACTTCTTGGATAGTTGGATAAGTAAGTCCGCGTTAAGCCATCCTTAGAATTCCATTTTCAATCTAAAGTCGCAATCTTTTTTGAAGGAATGGAATAAGGGAAAGAGTAGACTAACCAAGAAAAGGGACAACAGATATACAAAAACAAAGACAAAAATTGAATATTATCCAGCATGGGGCAGGCCGAAAATTAAAGGCATAGGACATGCCAAGCAACTTCGGCGTGAATATGGCACTCCTTACCCCCAAAAGACCAACTATATAATGAAGAAAACCAAAGTCCAATCCTCGTCAACACTCACAAGAAGAACAAATTCACATTCATCCCAAGTCCTAGCTAAGAGAGTCAAAAAAAAAAAAAATGGCAACTTCCGCTTTCGGACAGTGCAATCTTCTACCTCGTACAACAACTACTATGAATCCCACACAACTGCAGTCTCCTCGTCAACTTTTCTCTTTGTCTTTCAACAGACAAAGCTTAATAACCTCTTCATCACGTGCACTATCAATGTTCACCCAATCTGAAGGTTTCAGTTCTGTAATTAATCAGAAACATTGTCGGGAGGAATATCAAAACCGGTTTCAAACATGTGCTGTTCGTGAGTTGACCGGTTCTGTTACCTCTACCCAAGGCCATCGCTTTGCTATTGTTGTTGCACGTTTCAATGATTTGATCACAAAGAAACTTTTGGAGGGAGCTTTACGCACTTTCAAGAGTTATAACTCAGAAGATGTTGATGTTGTGTGGGTTCCTGGCTGTTTTGAAATAGGATTGGCCGCACAGCAACTTGGAAAGTCACGAAAATATCAAGGGATACTGTGTATTGGAGCTGTAATAAGAGGTGATACGTCTCACTATGATGCTGTCGTTAATGCTACAACATCAGGAGTAGTTTCAGCAGGTCTAAATTCTGGAACGCCTTGCATATTTGGTGTTTTGACATGTGATACATTGGAGCAAGCTTTCGATCGCGCTGGTGGTAAGTGGGGAAATAAAGGTGCCGAAGCAGCGTTGACAGCTATTGAGATGGCGTCTTTGTTCCTCGAACCTTTAGAATAGCAAGGGAAAATTTTATTTTGTGTCTCATACAACTTGCACTAGTTGTATGAGGTAACTTTTTTGTCTCATAGTTTTGTGGATCCATATTTCTGTGGATCCAGAAGTGTAAGATTGAGGTCCAAAAATTTTTGAGACAAAAAGGAGTCTCATACAACTAGTGTAAGTTGTATGAGACACAAAATAAAACTTCTCGAATAGGAATGTCCCTCTCCTCTATTTAATTACCAGCATCTGTTTCAAATAAAGAAAGAGAATGTCCCTCTCCTCTATTTCTCAAGTGATGTCTAGCTACCCTTTTTGTTGAACATTTACCTATTTAACTGAGTACGGACTTTAAAAAAAGATAGAAGACTTTTGAACTTGTGGTGTAAAATTAGGCACATATATTTTGTGTGGCTATAAATCATTGTATAAAGGTATATTGTTTCCAAATAAGGAAAGAGATCATTTTTTTTGGCACGGACCAAAAAGGAAATAGGTTCACATAAATTGAAACAGATAGAGTATATGGTTTTCCATCAACAATACTCATTTCTTGTTGAGGTGAGGTCTACCGGAAATAACCTCTCTATCTTCCCAAAATAGGAGTAAAGTTGGTGTATACATTACCCTCCCTAAATATATACATTACTCTCCCCAAATCCACGTGTGAGATTTCACTAGATTGTCCTCCTTGTTGTTTTCTGTCAACAATATAATGGACTAGTGCATGTTCTACCGACCAAATTACTGTTACATCCCTTTTTTACCCCAAAAGATATATGTATGAATTGTAGGTTAAAAAGTTTTTCCACTTAAAGTGACAAACTTGAGTAGAGATTATTTATTTACAAAGTCGCCACTTAGAAATTTTTTGGGTGTTCCAAGTCGCATTTTATTTGAATTCCTAGTCATAGGAAGGTTTGACTCTATTATTATTGGTCTGCAAAAATAAAGTTCGGGTAAGAAATTCTGTCAACCGGGGAGAAGGTGTAAGACATTCCCTGAGTCCCGTAGTTCTAGCATGGTCGCTTATTGACTATAACATGGCTTGAATTAATTTTGGACAAACTGTGATTATTGATTTCCATGTTTTATCTATCCATTTTTATTCTTCATTATTGGAAATATTAAGGAATGTTTTGAATAATAAGATGTCATAACCACACTACGCAAGCGAATGCGTGATCGAGAAAAAATTTATTAATTTTGTCATAACAGTGTTATTCAAGCGAATCTGCAGTCATGACAAAGGATTATTAGTACGTTATTACTTTTGAAAAAAAAATATTACAATTGCGCTTTGAAACAATTAATTTTGAAAATTATTAAGTATTACTAACGCGCTACGCAAGCGAATCCACAGTTATGGCAAAAGATATATGTGAAGTTAAACATCACGCTACGCAAGTAAGTTCGTGAAGTTAAAGCGCGCCTACTAGTTGCCTAGCATTTAAATTAATTAACAAGATAGCTAAGTTACATAATTATTAAAAGAAAATATGATAAAGTAAAAAAAAATAGTTGAACAGCTTGTAACTGGAAACTTAGATTAGCTTTGTTTATTGGATTTAAAATGGCATTGGACCACTTTCTTTGTTATTGGAGCTGCTGGACCAATTTTATTATTTTGGCATTGGGCTGCCTTATTATTAAAAGGAATTTTCATCTTCTATTGTAAACCTTTACATCTTATTTATTATAAATAAATATCATTTTATAAAATTATATCCTATAGCTACCTTTTAGGTTTCCTACTGTTAAGCCGTTAAATACGTTGTGAAATATTTCTCTCTCTCATACCTTCTATTCTCTCTCTCCCAATAACACCGGTATTGTATACAATTTTATTAAACCCACGTTCTCTCTCCACTATCTCTTTCTCAACCCAGTATCCTCCCTACAAATACAACCTCCAATTATCAACTAATTCATCTCCATTCTCTCTCTAAATTTTCAAAATTGTTTTCCCGAAAGAATTCCAAGCTGCCTGCACTTGATCCTCCTGACTGGATGTGTCACGAATCTATTATTACATCTAGCGAACAAAATCTGAAGGAGATCCAAGCCACGTGCATCGTCGTTTAATCCCATCATCAACTTTTTCATAATCTACTTGGAGAATACAGAAGGGATACAACAAACTACAACAATCAACACGCCTGCTTGTCTACAGCAAGTTGCAACAAACGCTCAAGCGGAACATCTATTTGCAAGTTCAGCAGCAAATACAGTTGCGGAATGACACATCGAAACAAGCTCAATTTGAGAAATTTCCAAAAGAATCAACAGTTTCACTGTTCGTTTTTAAATGTATTTAAATGTATTTCGATATAGTTGGATGTAGTTAGATGACTTTCACTGTTGTACTTATGAATGTGTTATATATTTCAAATACACATCTGTATTATACTGATAAATAGTTATTACAATGACTTTTACTATTTGTTTTTAAATGTATTTAGTTGTATTTAGATGTATTTACAAGACTTCCACTATTGTACTTATGAATATGTTATGTATTCCAAATACATGTATTCATCTAAAATGAGTACATGTTTTGAAAATCTACAGAATGATAGCAACAGAAAAAGGAGGGATTGAAAATCTAGAGATTGTTTTGTTTTGTGGTCTTTTTTGGCTGGAAAATCTTTTCTTTAACGTGAAATACAGACTGTGCATGTTATAATTGAGTTAGTTGAGTTATATTAGGAGTCTGTCGCGTTAATTGATTCACTTACCGTTTTAAACAGCTGAAAAGACCATTTATGCAATTTATGTTACTGTATTCACAAATACATCTCGCAAATACAGTCGAATACAATCGAATACAACCGTTGCTTAGCCAGATTCCCCTGTTTCATGGCAAGTTTCGCTATTGTATTCATCAATACAGTAGCTTAAATACATCGAATACGCTCTATAACAACTGAAAATATAGTTATATGAAGTAATTTAGTAAATGGTAGCTGTAGCTAGTTAATAATCACTAAACAATAGTGGTTTGTGAAAATTTCTCTTAAAAGGAATTTTTACCTCTCCCATATTTCACGCAGAGTTTTGCTACTGTATTCATTACTATATTCATGAATACAGTAGTTTAAATATATCGAATACACTCTATAACAACTAAAAACATAGCTATAGAAAGTAATTTAGTAAATGGTAGCAATAGCTAGCTAATAACCACTAAACAATAGTGGTTTGTGAAAATTTCTCTTATTAAAAAGCAAATGGGCCCGCTAGCATGATTATATTAAAAATGGATCAGTTAGGTTATTAGGGAAATGGGCTTAGCAAAAATTATTTAAAGAAAAATAGATCGGCTGAATTATCTTGTTTATGGGCCTGGTGAATTTGATCTCATTTGGCCAAAATAAAAAACCTGTAATTTTTAGTTTACTAATACAACCCAACAAGATTAGTTATGTGTAACGACTCGATCGGTCGTTTTGAGCTTTTGCATTTTGCTCGCCAGTTCTCGGGCATGACTAACCCCGTGTGTTGTATTATGACTTATGATAAATCGTCAGTTTTGGTTTTCAGCGTAATCGGAATGAATTTTGAAGAATAGTTCTCAGTTTGAAGCTTAAAAATTTGAAAGGTTTGACCAAGTTTTGACTTGTTAGTATATGATCTCAGATTGGAAATTTTTTGATTTGGTTAGCTCCGTTAGGTTATTTTGGACTTAGGAGCGTGATCGGAATGTATTTTGGAGGTCCGTGAAAGGTTTAGGCTTGAATTCGCAAAATTGAAAATTTGGCATTTTCTGGTTGGTAGTGGAAATTTTGATATCGAGGTCGGAATGGAATTTCAAAAATTGGAGTAGGTCCATTGTGTCATTTGTGACGTGTGTGCAAAATTTCAAGTCATTCGGACAAGGTTTGATAGACTTTTTGATCGAAAGCGGAATTTGGAAGTTTTGAAATTATTAGGCTTGAATTCGAGGGTGATTTGATGTTTGATGTTGTTTTGAGCGTTCCGAATGTTGAAACAAGTTTGAATGATGATATGGGTTATGTTAGCATGTTTGGTTGAGGTCCCGAGGGCCTCGGGTGTGTTTCAGGTGGTTAACGGATCAATTATTGGTTTTAGAAGTTGGCAGATTTTCTGGTATTTTGTTGCAAAGAAATCCTTCTTTGCGTTCGCGAAAGGGATCTCGCGTTCGCGAAGGTTTAATGAGAGGGTCAGTCAAGTTGTTCTTTGCGTTCATGATGTAGGTCCCACGTCCGTGAAGATGTATGAGTTTAAGGCTACGCATTCGCGGCCTGGGCCTCGCGTTCGCGTAGAGTCTATGGTCATGTGGAGTTCAGGCAATTAAGCCTACGCGTTCACGATTGGTGTTCTGCGTTCGCGTAGGGTCGAGCTGTGTGGTCATCGCATTCGCGGGTACCCCCTCGCGTTCGCGAAGGAGAGAATTTTGGTCAGAGAAGCTTTGTGCTTCGCGAACGCGAGGGTGCTGCCGCGTTCGTGATGAAGAAAATATCTGGGAAGTCAGATTTTATTTGGAAATCGAGGGTTTATGTCCAATATCATAAAATCCATTAGAGAGCTCGGGAGAAGGTGAAATTTGAGGAGATTTTCAATGGAGCAATTGTGGTAAGTATTCTTCACTCATATTTGGTTTAATTCCATGATTTAGTCTTGAATTTCATCATTTAATTTGAGAAATTAGAGTGGAAGTTGGGGAAAAATGGAAGAAAAGTTTGAAAATTCTTTAGGGGATTTGAATGGGCATTTGATATCGGATTTTGATGATTTTGGTATGTATAGACTCGTGAGAGGATAAGGATTCTTTGATGTAATTTTTATCGGATTTCGAGGCGTGGGATCGGGGGTCGGGTTCGTCCAATTTCGGGATTTTTGATGTAAATTGGTTATTTTCGAGTGGGCTTCGTTCCCTTAGCATATTTTGATGGTATAAATCTGTATTTGGTTAGATTTGGAAACCGAGTCGAGAGGCAAGGGCATCGCGGGCTAGAGTTTGGACCGGATTGAGTTAAATAATGATTGTAAATATTTGTCCTAAGGATATAAAAACCCGGATTTCACATCGTTGTGCTACTTTGAGGTGACGCACATGCTAGACGACGAGCGTGAGGTCATGCACCGTTGGAGATTTTGACTTAGTCCATCCCGTATGACTGTTAAACCGCGTATTTGATTGAAAACGGTTTGCTATCATTGTGTTTTGGAAGGTGTTATTATGTTTTAGGGTGAATGTCATATTTGGCCCTCGTGCCAACTGTTTTGGACCCTTAGGGGATTTTTATTACTATTCTTCACTGTTTTGACTTC